ATTCATCCTAATGTCAATTCATATTTAACAACAACTAAACTGATATTCAAGCTCTGCTCAATTCATATTCAATGCAATGTAAAGTAATATCCAATATTTATTCAACTCATCCATAGTACCAAATACTATTATATTGAGCGTCAACCAACTAAAAAATCAAATCGTCGTCTTTGGTACTAGTTAAACTTATATTATCCAAATGTCAATTCATATTTAACAAGTAAATTCATATTCGTAGTGAGTTCAAGTCGTATTTGACACTAAATATCATTTGAACTCACAATGCATATGAGTTTAGCCTCCATTAAATATGGGTTAACTTATGGATAAATTCATATTCAGTGTCGGTTCAAGTCATATTCAGTACAAAGTTGACTAATACTTATTGCTTACTCAACTCATATTTTATGCCAAGTTTTGTCATATTTAGTGTCAACTGAAAAACAATCAAATTCTCATTATTTGTACTAGTTCAACTCACATTCATCCAGATGTTAACTCATATGTAAAACTAGATAAATTCATATTCAGTATTAGTTCTCCTCAAGCAGCGGCTGACGTCACTCTGCAAGCAGCGGCTGAAGTCATCCCTCTCAATCCCAAGACCCGCATGCTGCTTCTTCTGTCACTCCTTCCTCCTCGACCTCGCCGTCCCATGCCAGCTTGTCTCCCATCAGTTCTGCTTCGAGCGAAGCGTCCTCCTCTTCACCTGCTACTCTCGGCAGCCCCCTCCAAGAGGAGTACACACCGCACGTGCCTACACCACCTTAAGAACATGCGGTTGGATATCTATGATATAACTTCCCATCAAGCTTCTCACATCAGGTATCCTATATCCTACCATGTCTCCCATGCTCAAGCATTACCGTCTTTTTGAGACTTCATAGTTGTTGTTGATAGCTCTAGAGACCCTTGCTATTTTCACCAAGCCGTGTGTTATGCACATTGGAGAGCGGCCATGGTTACAGAAGTCAATGCTCTGAAGCAAATAAGACATGGAGTCTCGTTGAGCTTCCTCCTGGAGTCACTCCCATTGATTGTAAATGGCTCTACCGCACAAAATTTCTTCTCAATGGGGTGATTGAACGCTTCAAAGCTCGTGTTGTGGCCAAGGGGTACACACAGGTTGAAGGAGTTGATTATCATGATACTTTTGCGCATGTTGTCAAGCTTGTCACTGACTGTTGTCTCCTTGTCGTGGCTGGTTCATTCATCAACTGGATGTCAATAATGCGTTTCTTCACAACGATCTAGAGGAAGTTGTTTACATAAAGATCTCTTCAGGGTTTGCTGCACCCAATGACAAGCGGGTCTATCGTCTTCACAAGTCTATTTATGGTCTCAAGAAAACCTCGTGAAATTGGTATCACAAATTCACGTTGGCTCTTTGTGAGCTTGGTTTTTGAGCGTCTCCTGCCGATCATTTACTCTTCATCTACAGTCAAGGTACCTCCTTTGTTGTTTCATTGATTTATGTTGATGACGTCATTCTTGCTGGCACAGATATGGACTTCATTACATGAGTCAACCGTTCTTAGATCGTCATTTCAGTATCAAAGATCTCGACACTTTGCGTTACTTTCTTGGTTTGGAAGTGGCACGGTCTCTGCGGGGCATGATCCTCAGTCAGCAGAAGTATGTTTTGGATATTCTTGAAGATGCTGGTGTGCTTGGCGCTCGTCCCAATGCTTTTCCCACTGAGCACAACCACCAGTTGACCTAGCCCTCTCAAGTGACTCTTGTTGATGGTTCTCCCTTTCGACCTTCTGTGGGTCGTCTCCTCTACCTCACCGTGTCTCGTCCGTCACCTACGGTGTTAATATCTTGAGTCGTTTCGTGCATGATCTCACATAGGCTCATATGGATGGTGTTGTTCGTCTATTGCGATATCTAAAGTCATCTTCCGGTCAAAGGCTCTATTTCCTAGCTAATAATGATCTTCAGCTTTGTGCTTATTGTGATGCAGACTGGGGTGGCTGTCAAACCACCAGTCATTCTACCAGTGGTTTCTGCATCTTCCTTGGCACCGCACCAGTCTCCTGGCGCACCAAGCAACAGAAAGGTCGTTACCCGTTCCTCTGCAGAGGCTGAGTATAGGCCATGGCTTTCACTATCAGTGAAGTCTTATGCCTTAGATGGCTTCTTGCCGAGCTAGGCGCACCTCAAGCTGCTGCCAATGCAGTCAAAATCAGGATTTTGATCGTAAAATCGTAGGATTTTAGGATTTTACTTAGGGATTCCGATCATGATTTTACTATAAAATCGATGGACCATAAAATCGTTCAAAATCAGGAATAAAATCGTTAAAATCGTAAAATCATACCAAAATCGGGATTTTGATCCTATGTTAACAAAATAGGGAGCTTGAGCCAATTCAAAAGAAGCAGAATTGTTTCGTTGGAAAGGGCAATGACGGAGATCTTCTCATATAATTTTCCTATTAAAAGAACATTTGAAAAGAAGAAAAAAAACTAATTAGAGTTCGCTCAACCCCTTTCCCTTCTCTTTGTTTAACTCATCGGTAAAACAATTGTCAGAATATTGTTTGTGCGTAAGAATTAACATCATTATTAACAAATTATTTTTTTAATGAATATATTTGTACCAAACCAATGACATTAAATATTTTACTGGATTTCAGTTATTCTTAGTTTTAAATCATGCTTAGTACACGATGTCGGAATACTACTTTGAGTTAAACTACCTAGACATAACATGAAAAACAAGAGCCAAACCCCATGAACTCTATCCCTTCCTCATAAATTATTTTGAGTTACACATTAAATAACAATTAAAATGATGATTTTGGAACATTAATCTTGAAATTTATCACTTTAAATGTTATAAGTCTTTGTGTTATTAATTATTTACCTTATTAATATTATCATATGTTAATTTCTATATGGTACTTAAAATCCTACGATTCTACGATTCCGATTTTACTCCAGTTTTCGATTTTAGGTAAAATCTCGATTTTAACTGCTTTGGCTGCTGCTACTCCTCTTCACTATGACAATCAAGCTGCTATTTATATTGCTGTTAATCCTGTGTTTCACGAACGAACTAAGCATGTCGAGATGGATTGTCACTTTGTTCGTGAACGTGCTGTCTCTCGGAGCTATCTTGCTAGTCAAGGTCACTTCCCATCTCCAGGTGGCTAATCTTTTCACCAAAAATTTGGCTGCTGATCGTTTTTTATTTTTGCTTTCCAAGATGAACGTGCGTGACCTCCACAGTCCAACTTGTGGGGGCGTATTGGGCCAGGAGAGTGAGTCGAGCCCAGCTGATGAGCCCATCTCCGAGTCGTGTCCTGTAGGCTGTAGCCAGCATGACTACGTCGATTTGTACGTCTATTTGCCCTAGTGCAATAAGGACTCGGAGTAGGGTTACACATGATAATATATAGACTTGTAAGGTCACTCACTCGCTGTGTAACACAAGTTCATCATCAGTCAATAACATAACCTGGAGAGCTATTGCTTTCCCGTGGATTAGTCCTGAACAAATCGTTCAGGGATACCACATAAAATCGTGTGTCCTTTTTATTTTTATCATTATATTTTTTATATATTGTGTAGAATTTATCAATACTACTCAAAACACAATTAAACTGTTCATAAAATGACAATGTTAACTCTAGAGAGAGATATCAATTTTTTGAGGTTGTAATAGGACTTCATTAATTCTCGTTATTTTGTATAATTTACTTAATTTTGATTTCATCTCAAGCAAAAACTTCTTTTCATTTCTTCAGCATAAATTTAATTTGCGAAAATGGTAGGTTTCGAATTTAGACATTTCCTTTGTGTTATTTTCGTCTATGGTCAGCCGTTTCACGTTTCTTCGGATTCGCGTTTCATATTTGATTTTCCGTAGACGTTCTTGCTTCCAGATTCTGCATTGCATAATTGATAATTCCTTTCGACTTCTCTCTCTTCCCTCCAGCAAACACAACGTTCCTTCTTCCGTTAAGTTCCCTTCTTTCTTCTTCTCCTCCTGCAACCCATCCGGCCATCCTATCCCATCCCATCCCTTCAGCGTCGTCATAGCATAACTCCTCCAGAATCTCCGATCCAAACTCCCAACATCCGTGCGGCCGTGCCCATAGACGGACTGAACAGCGCTAGCGACCGCCTCCGCAACCTTGGCCTTTCGTTTCGTTTCCCCTTTTGCCGTTGATAAGGTAATCGCAGCCATCATACATCCGCTTCCTTCCTTAGATGATGTGCAACTTAATTTCACTGCTCTGCTACTCTTTAAATCCCTTATCAACTAGATCTAACCGATTCCTCCAACAGTCCAACTTAAATTAGACTTTCCTAAGCTAGATCCAAGTTCGATCACCTTCTGCTCTCCTCTCACCCACTGTATATGCTTTCTTAATTAGTTTGCTTTCTTCTTCCTCACTGCTCAACTGTCACTGTGATGGGTTATGATCAGAAAAGCAGGGAGAGAGCAGAACTATTTCAAACCCCTGCTTGAAGCAGACAAAATAAGGAGAGAAGAGGAAATGGTGGCCGTATCGAAGATTGATATGGGGGCTTGGTTCAGCAAGAGGGTGGTCGATCCTTTCCACCAAATCCTGCGCAGGTACTCTGTCCTTTTGCTTTCGATCTTCGTTTTGAATAATTACATTATGATTATAAAATAATGATTTTCACCTTTGTAAACTCACTTGTTTTCTATTACCATAGGGTAGAGACTGAGATTACCCGCATCTCTCATTTGCCCGATTCGATAGACGAAATGATAATATTGCTATTAGTCATGTTTGGAGTCGGTGGTAAAAATATTGAATGCTGTATAATTGCAGCTCTTCCGCTGACCTGATTTCTTGGAGTTTACGGTTTCCCGCTAATTGTATGCCGTTGGCTTCTTATGTAGAATTCCATTTGTTAAAGTGGATTTCGTTGGTTGTTTGTGGAGAAACTTTATTGATTCATTCAATTTTCGATTTTGATTCTGTTCTTGATGTCTGTGTTTCTCTTATCCGCAGAGGGATGGAACCAAAGCAATTAGCATTTTCTGCAGCTCTTGGCTTTACCCTAGGAGTATTTCCCATTTGTGGTATGTATCACTTTCCATGCAGCAGGTCTTTTGTATTGCTTCCCTGATTGAAAATTGGTCCATGACCTCAGATCTAGCAAAATTATGAGGTTCCCATCTTCGTTATTCTCATTGCGGCCTGACTAATTGCTCCTGGCTGTTATCTCCTTGCTTTTTTTCCCCTGGTAATTGTTGTTGTCTCTTTATTAAGCTCAAGCTTGATGAAACCAAGCATCCTCGAAAAATACATTTGTTATATGCAGCAATGTACATAAAAAAAGATCATCTGCTAATTCTATCACTTGCAAATTATATAGCTACTGCTAGCTGCTAACTTTGCTAATTGCTATCTACATTGAATCAACTACTGCCATTATTCCAGACCTGAAAGTAAACAGGGTTACAGACCAATTCCTGATGAAATTCAGTATTGCCTATACAATAATATCTAACTTCTTCCTTGAGCTGAAGCAACAACTCCTCCTTACTTTTCCTGGCAGCTGTGAAAGCTCTAGTACATCTCTACTTTTCAGGCTCAGTATGACAAAGTAAACATAGATCAGATTCAGCAATACCCCAATCTTTTAGTTGCACTCGAGTCTTGATCCGATGATGTATGACTAACCTTGTTAGGAATCGATGCCTAGGTGTGTTAAACTTCCCCCACAATGCTGAGTACCACCACCTCACTACTTGATTTCTAGGTCGAATAGTCTGCCACACTGCTCGAATGGAGAAAGTCTCTAGTAACTTTCCCTCCCAAGTGACCCCAGCATCTCCTCCTATCAATCGATACTGAAACCATGATCTCAGCTGGAGAAGTTTTCTCCATAGCCAAGATCCAGTTTGCGTTTCAGGAAGTAACCACAGTGATCTCCCTTTTAACCTGTGTTTCTCGATCCAAGCCACCCAAAATGAGCCCCCACGCATGAGAAGCATCCAAACCATTCTTCCCACACAGGCCACATTCCAAGTATATAGGTCTCGCAGCCCTAATCCTCCCTCCTTCTTAGGCAAGCAGATCAAATCCCATCTGGCTTTGGCCCTCCCAGTACCCTCACCATACCAGAGAAAATCAGAGCAGACTTTTTGAATTCGATTGATAACTTTCTTTGGCAGCATAAAGACTGTCATCCAGAACTGGGTGATGGAGTAGAGAACTGAAGAGATCAGCTGTAGTTTCCCAGCATATGTTAGTTTGTTGGCACGCCATGATCTAATTCTGCTGGTCAACTTATCTATGAGCAAGTTACAATCAATACTAGACAGCGATCCAGATTGAAGAGGCACTCCTAGGTACCTCACCGACAGCCTGCCTTGAACCCAGATCTGTCCTGGGCTAATTGTTTTGATCTCTCCGCCATTCCTCCCAAAAACACTTCACACTTAAGCGGATTATATCGGAGACCTGAAAGTCTATAGAACACATCAAGCACATTCCTTAAACATTCTAAAGCCTGAGCTGAACCCTCTGTGAAAATCAGTAGATCGTCAGCAAAGCTAAGGTGTGTTAGTCTGATGGCTTTACATTGGGGGTGAAAGGGAATCTGTCTAGTCAATGCTGCTCTGTTCAACATGGAAGATAGGGGTTCCATAGCGATAGTGAAGAGGTAAGGTGATAACGGATCACCCTGCCTCACACCCTTCTTAGCTACGAAAAACCCAAAGAGACTGCCCTGCACAGTCACACTGAAGCTGGCTGTTTCTAAACAGATTTTAATCCATTCTAGAAACTTAGGAGGAAAATTCATCTTTTGCATAACCATGAACAAATAACCCCAATGAACCGAGTCAAAAGCCTTCATCAAATCGACTTTGACAGCAAGGATGCATACATGTTAAGTGGGCGCGAGATGTAGTTATAGGTGATGCTGGGATAAAATTCTTTGAACCATATCGTTAACATGGGATTATGCAAGGAGATGATAGCCTTGGACATAAAAAAGCATTTATGAACTCTATCTTGTATCTCGTCGGGAAAATTTAAATTGCAAAGTAGCTGTTTGTGACAGGTGTATGTGGCTGAATGTAGTTTTCCCTTATGTAGATTCCTGTAACTTAAGGGATTATGCGCTTATCGTTTAGCACAAAGGTTTATGAGTTCATCTCGAGTTACTTCTGACATCTATATTGTTAGCCAATGAAAAAGGTGCTGTGGCTGAATGTAGTTTTCCCATATTTAGATTCCTGTAACATTTCTAACGTTTGAAATAAAATTTAAAGAGTAACATTGGAAGCTACTCAAAGTATTATGCCCTGATGTCGTCTTCAGGAGTCACTGCTCTGCTGTGTGGGATGGCAATTGCATTACTTGGATCGCGCTGCCATGCTCCCACCGTGATGTTAGCAAACCTTATTGCAACTCCTATTGAGCTGAGGTAATATGTGCTTTCATTATGTTATCTGGGTCAATTGTTTTTTCTACTTTGGCTATTGCTTGGGGTTACAAGTTGATCTTAGAAACTGTTACTAGAATGAGAAGAGGCTGAGCTTCTAAGCAGTAATAGGTTTTTTTGTTTGGTTTCCTTGTTTACTGACTTCTTAAACATATTTTCTCTTACAAGTCTTGTTGTACCGTTCTTGCGTTTTGGGGAAGTTATAATTGGTGGACCCCATTTTCCATTGACATCTGATGCTTTGAAGAAGGTCTTGACTGGGGAAGCTTCTCATGAAGTCGTTCAAAGTGTTCTTCATGCGGTAGGTTGCCAAGCTTGGTTCGAAGTAACACGTTAGCATCTTTATTCCTCACAGCCAATAGATCATATTTCATGGATTTGACCTACTAGCATGATGTTATGTTTTTGGGCTGCAACATTATTTGCGTATGTAATGAATGGCTTGCGCTTCGACAAAATTAGCTAAGAGCCTAAGACTAAGACATTCAGATAACTGACGGGCAAGAAAGTTACGTTATTCGAGGTAGAACAGTTAGCTACTCATTGCGGTTAATCAAGATAATGTCCTCTTGCTGTCAGACAGAACAGTAGCCCAAGCATCCATGGTGATTGCTAATAGAAATTGCTGAATTAGACTGAAGGCTGTTACTTAGGGATACACATGGGCTTTTGTTTTATTATTATTAGTGGATTGTCTTTAATGATCATCAGCCTAACTGCATAGTGGACGTATAGAATCAGCAGCATTTGTGGTTCATGATTTTCTTGCTTGTACGTTGGCACCTTTATCTCCATTTTCAGGATCTGCTTTGTATAGTGATATGAGATCTGAGTGATGCTACGTTGATTCTGCAGCTATTGGGATGGCTTGTTGCGGCACCAGCTATTCTGGGAGCATTGTTTGTGATACTTTTGCCGTGTTTTAAGGTGTTGGTTGTCAAGTTCCATAGTGTTCCATCAAGCCCAAGACAGTCAGGCGGTATTCTCTCAGATGTTACCCTTAAGGTAAGAGATTGAGTTACATATGTTGAGAGCTTGGTTTCTTCAGCAAACACAAAGGGTGGAGACTACTCTGTATAGGCGTGCAACATGTGTACATAGAACTGTTGGATACTTGGTGTATATAACTGCATGCTGTAACCAATTTATTTCTGTTTCGGGATTATTGGGGTGAAAATTTATGACAGTATATGGTTCTGCATATAGTGTTTTGTGGTTGCCTATTACGCATAATGGGTGTTGTGTATCAATGAGTTTTTTCTTTTTTGCTTTGGCATGGAAAGTGATACGTGTATGAGATGTTTTTGGGTTTCTGGTCTCTTCTTGGGATATTTGATAGTAGGCGATGCCCTGGCTTCAGGACTTGTATCAGAAAATTGTTTTGTGAATGGCAGAAGATAAGAAAATTTTATCGAGGTAGCCATAAGTCCATAACTCCAACAACACATGTCTGTAATATGTATTGCATCATTTTGTTGATCTTCCGTGCACTTGTAGTGAAAGATCATTCGTTTGATTTTGTTGTTCGGATGATAGAAACCTATTTCTAGGGTTTTAGCGATTGGGTTGGGAATTGATGGAGACTTAGGGATTTAGAAGAGAATTTGGGGAAGAAGATAGAGAATAGGCCTAGGCCTTTAGATGGGTTGAGAACGAGAACTGAGAGGATAGGAAGATTAGGGTTTAGGAGAGTTTTCTTAATATTCTTCTTATTGATTGAATAGACGAATAACAACGTACATATATAGGAAAGAACCATAAACCCTAACAATTAACCTAATACGACTAAAAGACTAATTACCCTAATATAATAATAATTATAGAAATCGAACTAAAGTTGGTTTCTATCATCCTCTCCCCCTTTGAGACCAACCTTGTCCTCAAGGTTGACCAAATAAAATAATACTACTAATCCTATCGATATATGGAGCCCAAAGGAGTATGATAATCAGGCCTGTCTTTGTCTCTATAACTCGAGCGGCCGATGAACCCGCTCCCGTCATCGTGGCTGAATCGTCGTGAAGCTGTCTTGATTGACGGAGGGTGGCGATCGTTGGAGTGCCTTGGCGGAGGCCAGTACCCATCATCATCAAACTCCCGTTCATCTTCATATGAATCGTTCCAGCTCTGTTCCACGCGGTACACCTGTCCTGCCTTTAACAATGCCATCGCATGGCTATGGTAGACACGATAATTAGTCTGTTTGGTTCACCCTGTTGAATAGTGATCCAACTCATGTCGGTCCATTGGATCGAACCATTGTCGGTTCGAGTTTGGCTCACCTCGCTGGACTGGTCTGCCACCACCGATTGAACCATATGGCTTCTCAAGTGGCCCATTCAACATGGCAAATCAACCGAACTTAGCCCAGGATTGTGCGCCCTGTAGTTATGTACCAGTTTCAAATGCCCTACATCACGCTGCCTAGTGTTGAAGTCGGCTGAGAAACCCTGACCTGCCAACTTCCTTTGCCGCGCAGTGTAGGAGTTGGTGCTTCCTTGATCATCGGAGTTGCCGCCGACGTCGGGATGGTGTGATTTCTCAAGAGGTGGCTGACTAAGGGGAAACCGACACCAAGTGGTTGCCCGCCAAGCTGCGTAGTAATCAAGTTTATCAAGTGAAGAAGATGAAGATGATGCCCTGCTGAAATGAAGTGAAGCTGCAGAGGATTCTGAAGAACTGAAGAAGAAACCTTACCCAGAAACAGAAACGTTTCTGGGTTCCCTCCATCCAGCTTAAGCGAAGGAGCTAAACGACGACGTTGTGGAGTTCTGGAACTTACCGTTGGGTGGAACCATTTATGACGAATCGCGCTGTGCCAAGTGGCTTTACATTTACAGTTAATTTAAATTTCAGTTTTGCATTTCCAGTTTTACTGTTTTGTAACGTGAACCTGACTCTTCTTCCTTGGGTATAAAACACGAGCTTGAGAGATCCTTTGCTCTCTTGCGCGTTTCCCATTTCGTCGTGCCACTTTCTTCCGCTAAACCCTAGCTCGAGCTAATCTGAAATGGTATCAGAGCGGTTGCTGTTCTAGTGACCTGCGATGGCAACGACACCAACACACAACAATGTGCCGTTGAATACTCCTTCGGGAAGTATTCCATTTGGCAGTTTCGGTGGGATGAGTTCAGGAGCGACGAATGGATCTAACAACAACGAGCGCTCAGATCTGCAATTTGGTAATCCCTTCTATATCAATCCAAACGAGAATATCTCGCAATCTATTGCCTCAGAAGTTTTGGATGGTACAAATTACCATATGTGGCAACGAGCTGTTCGAATGGCTCTGAAGACGAAGCACAAAATTGGGTTCATAGATGGCTCAATTGTTGTGCCTACTGTAGGAGATCCAACTTACAGCACTTGGGATGCTTGTAATACTCTGGTTTTGTGTTGGATATTGAACTCTGTGGAGAAGGAGATTCGACGAAGTGTGATGCAGCACGAGGTAGCTCGAACCTTGTGGGAGGAGCTCAAGGCTTGTTTTGGTTTTACTAATGCTATTAAACTGTCGAACATGGAGGATCAAATCATTGCTTGCAAACAGGGAACCCAGAGTGTTACTCAGTACTACACAGCCCTTAAGGGTTTGTGGGAAGAACATCTCCAGTATCACCCAATTGTGGATTGCAATTGTGCTCCACAACGAACTCAACCTTGTGCAGCAGTTGAGGCCTTCAAGCAGAAACAGGAGACTGACTATCTGATTTGATTTTTGAAAGGCCTGAGATCTGAATTTGATGTAGTTCATACTCAAATTCTGATGATGAAGCCACTCCCTACTGTGGAAGTTGCTATTAATGATGTTTTACAACATGAACAGAAGCTGAAGGCAGACAAGGGAATCACTGGAGGTGTGCAGACAGTTGCCCTGGCAGTGCAAGGAGATTCTTCAGATGGGAAAAAGTTCTGTCGATACTGTAAGAAGGATGGACATGTCAAAGATGAATGTTATCGTTTGAAAAACAAGAAGCTGAGAATGGCTGGAGGAGTTGTTGCTGCAGCAGTAACTCAGGGAGAGTCTTCAACTGAAAGTGACACAGCCAGTTTAGGGTCAAAACTAAGCAGTGACTCTCGGAGTGTGTCTTCCAAGGAAGGTTTTAGCTTCTCCACTAAGGAGCTTCATAAGCTCAGATACCTGTTGCAGTCAGTCCCTTCCTCTGGACCTTCATCCCCAGCTTCATCTCCAATCAACCATTTGGCTTTCTCAGTGGCTAACAACACTTCTCCATTCCCTACCTATGCTGGTAAATTTATCTTATCCTCTTACATGCAACATAGAACAAAATCTTTGCCACATTCCTGGATCTTGGACACTGAAGCATCAGATCATATTGCTTGTCACATTGATCTGTTTGCTGAATCCACTCCAGTGCAAGACTAGTTTGTTTACTTGCCAAATGGTACCAGGGTGTTGGTTAGTCATGTAGGAAGGGTTCAACTGTCTCCAGATTTTTCCCTCGAAAATGTTCTTCTAGTACCTAGTTTCACATTCAACCTCATCTCAGTGAGCAAGTTGACTCATGACCAACCCATATCCTTACATTTTGAGTCTGATTCTTGTCAAATTCAGGACCCGGTGACCCAGAAAAGGACTGGTTTGGCAAGACAGAGTAATGACCTTTACCAACTGCACACCAAGACTAAAGGACCCCTTCTTCCTACACCACAAGCAGCCTTTTCTTACAATTTTCAACCACAAAACATCAACCTTTGGCATTGGAGATTAGGGCATCCTGGCAAAGACAAGGAGAAGCAGTTGCTGCCTAGTGATAGGAATGTTGTTTCTCTTTGTCAAACATGTCATTTTGCCAAACATAAGAGACTTTATTTCCCTGTTAGCAGTAGTAGAGCAGCTGCTGTGTTTGATTTAATTCATGTAGACATCTGGGGACCATTGGCAACTAAATCTCATGAAGGATACTCTTATTTCCTTACAATCGTTGGTGACTTCTCTAGAGCTGTTTGGGTGTTTTTAATGAAGTTTAAATCTGAAGCTGGTTACTTGTTGCAAAGCTTCTGTACCATGGTTGATAGACATTTTTCCAAATCAGTGAAGATCATAAGAAGTGATCAGGGATCTGAGTTCCACCTAGCAGAATTCTATGCTGAAAAAGGGATTATGCACCAACAATCCTGTGTAGAAACTTCTGAGCAGAATGCTCGAGTGGAGAGGAAGCATCAGCATATCCTCAATGTAGCTCGAGCCCTTTGTTTTCAGTCTGGTATTCCACTCAGATTTTGGAGTGACTGTGTGCTCCACGCAGTTTATTTGATTAACAGACTTCCTATCTCTATCATTGATAACAAATCACCTTATGAACTCCCGTATCACAAACCCCCCAAACTTACGAACCTAAAGGTTTTTGGATCCCTATGCTATGCTTCTACCCTTTACAGGGATAGAACTAAGTTTGATTCACGAGCCAAGCAGTGCATATTCCTTGGATTCCCCACTGGAATCAAAGGATTCAAACTCTTTGATCTAAATTCCCATTCTTTCTTTGTATCCAGGGATGTGATTTTCTATGAGTCTATCCTTCCTTTTCAAACCAATCCCATTCACTCCATTCCTGACCTTATTTCTCCACTTCTTACTCCTCTTCCAGACCCACTTCCTACTCAACCTACTACTACTCCTTCTACACTTCAGCCTGCCAACTTCTCATTTCCTGGTTCAGCTACTGATACAGGATCCTGTTCCAATCCCATTACCAATCTTGACCCTTTTATTACCTCTTCACATCCTGTTTCCACTCCTCTTCCTAGTGCCTCTTCTTCTACTGATTCTTCCTCAACATCACTGCCTTCTTCTAGTGATATTTCTCCCATAAGTTTGCAGTCTGAGGGGGAGGACATGGAGATTGAAATCTTTCCTGAAGATGATGATTCAGATGAAGCTGAGTTTTTAAGGAAGTCCAACAAGAATAGAACAATACCAATCTGGCATAAGGATTACCATGTAAGTATGGATGCCACAACCAACAAACATCACATTTGTCACATTGTTGGTTATGATCATCTCACTGCCTCTCAGAAGGCTTTTGCTTTGAATGTTCTATGCATTGAGGAACCAACTTCATATGCTGAAGCTTGCAAGGATCCTCGTTGGTTGCAAGCCTGTAAGGAGGAAATATTTGCACTGTATGAAAACCAGTCTTAGGAAGTAGTAAAATTGCCTCCAGGAAAGAGACCTATAGGGGCTAAATGGGTGTTTATAGTCAAATACAGGTCCGATGGAGCAATAGAGAGGTTCAAGGCACGTTTGGTGGCTAAGGGATATACTCAAATCTATGGCATTGATTTCCTAGATACATACTCTCCAGGAAAGAGACTTTATTAACAGTCGTTGCAGCCAAGAATTGGCACATTCACCAAATGGATGTGTCTAATGCATTTCTGCATGGTGACCTAGAAGAGGAAGTGTATCTGGAAATTCCCCCTGGTGTTGATGTGCCTAAGGACTCAGGTATGGTGTTTAAACTTAAGAAATCATTGTATGGCCTCAAACAGGCAAGCAGATAATGGTTTTCTAAATTGGCCAGTGCACTACTGAAGAATGGCTATTCACAAACTGCTTCTGATTACTCAATGTTTGTGAGATGGATTCAAGGAAGAATTGTAGTTGTTCTCGTTTATGTCGATGACATATTGATTGCTGGAAGCTACCTTGGAGACATCCAGCAACTTAAGACCTTCTTGAGCAAGGAGTTCAAAGTGAAAGACTTAGATCAGATGAGCTACTTCCTTGGTTTGGAAGTCATTAGAGATCATAAAGGGATCTCTGTTTGCCAGAGGAAGTACAGTTTGGAACTGCTTAATGACACTGGTTTTGTAGAAGCCAAAGGCTGTCTTACTCCAGTGGATTGTAATGTTAAACTTTCTGCTGAGCAAGGTGAATTACTAGCAGATCCAGGTGTTTACAGGAGGTTGATGGGGCGTTTACACTATCTGACCATCACAAGGCCAGATATAGCCTATGCTGTACAACAGCTTGCCCAATTCCAATCAGCACCTCATGTTGAACACTTACAAGCTGCACACAGAGTCATCAGGTACCTCAAACAGACTCTTGGACAAGGTTTGATTTTCAGGGCAGATTCCAAACTTGAACTTTCTGGATATTGTGATGCTGACTGGGCTAGCTGCCCTGACTCGAGAAGATCACTTACAGGCTATTGAACATTCTTGGGAACTTCATTGATAACTTGGAAGACCAAGAAGCAGACCACAGTGTCTCGATCTTCCTCGGAGGCAGAGTACAAAGCCTTGGCTCAGGTTGTTTGTGAAGTCCAGTGGTTGAGAAATTTGCTTGCAGAGATGGGAATCAAGGTACCATTACCCATCTCCCTGTTTTGTGACAACAAGTCTGCTTTACACATTGATGAAAACCCAGTTTTTCACGAAAGGACCAAACACTTTGAGATCGATTGCCATGTTACAAGAGAAAGGTTGAAATTAGGGTTGATTAAATTGCATCATGTGAGAACTGATGATCAAGTGGCAGATTTGTTTACAAAGGGAATGACGAGATACAGATTGAAGTTTCTGTTGGACAAGCTGGGAGTTCACAACGCTTACTCGCCATCTTGTGGGGGAGTATCAAGTGAAGAAGATGAAGAAGATGCCCTGCAGAAATGAAGTGAAGCTGCAGATGATTCTGAAGAACTGAAGAAGAAACCTTACCCAAAAACGGAAACGTTTTTGGATTCCCTCCATCCAGCTTAAGCGAAGGAGCTAAACGACGACGTTGTGGAGTTCTGGAACTTACCGTTGGGTGGAACCATTTATGACGAATCGCGCTGTGCCAAGTGGCTTTACATTTACAGTTGATTTAAATTTCAGTTTTGCATTTCCAGTATTACTGTTTTGTAACGTGAACCTGACTCTTCTTCCTTGGGTATAAAACACGAGCTTGAGAGATCCTTTGCTCTCTTGCGCGTTTCCCCATTTCGTCGTGCCGCTTTCTTCCGCTAAACCCTAGCTCGAGCTAATATGAAAAAGTTGGCTAGCGGAGTGGCAGAGTCATTCGCGAAGGCATTCTTTAGCGTCTCTTTGTCCGGTGGTGGTGGTGGAATCTCGATCAGCTTAGCTGATGGGGTGATTGGCACTTCCTTTGCTGTGGTAGCCGAAGCTGGAAGTCATTCGAGTGCTTCAACCCGCTGTTCAAGGGCTTGATACTTGGCAGCGGTGGATTGTGCGAGATCGACAATCAACACTCGAAGTTCTGCAAACTGTTGACTGATGGCTTTAGTGAGGGTGTCCTCAATTGACGCCATTGCTGCCGGAAGGGCCTCAAAGGTATTGGTGGCCATTGGTCGACGAACGGTCGTTGCGGTGGACTCCGAAATCTTGCTGCGGAGATGAGGTCGCCTTGTGGAAGGCCTTTGTTTATGATAAACAATTTCCTACCCAGAACTCTCTGTTGGCGCACAAAAATAAGGAATAATAATTCCTTTTCCTTGTGTACAGTTATCCCTTTGTGTGGAGTGTGGGATTGTTATGTTCTAGGTTTGGGAGTTGGACCTGTGAGTGGTGTATGGAGGGTAGTGCGGGGTGGATTGTGATGTAGCGGAAGGGTGAACAACCAGGCTCTGATACCAAATGATAGAAACCTATTTGTACGGTTCTATCGATTGGGTTGGGAATTGATGGAGATTTAGGGATTTAGAAGAGAATTTGGGGAAGAAGATAGAGAATCGACCTAGGCCTTTAGATGGGTTGAGAACGAGAAAGTAGAGGATATGAAGATTAGGGTTTAGGAGAGTTTTCTTAAAATTCTTCTTATTGATTGAATAGACGAATAACAACGTACATATATAGGAAAGAACCATAAAACCCTAACAATTAACCTAATACGACTAAAAGACTAATTATCCTAATATAATAATAATTATAGAAACCGAACGAAAGTTGGTTTCTATCATTGGACCAACTTGGAAATGGTAATTGGTAAAGTTATGATCTCTTTATCTTTGGTGGTAGTACCTTTAGATTGCTTGGTGTGTTGGTAATGAAGTATACAAGGTTGTGGTGGTGAAACTTCTTGTGTAAGGTGTTGACTAGCTTTGGTATCCAAGTTCAACCATTCTATGCATGTCTAAACACAAAAGTTCCCTTAAGACTCCTTTTGTGGGTTGTTTATGAAGTTATGCATATGCTTGTTTGGAGCTTTTAAATATAATCCTAGATACCTAGGATGTATCTATTGAAGTTGTGTCAACTTGAGGACCTTCTAACGCTTAATTTTAAGTTCTTCGTTCAGAGATTAGGGGGAATGACTTGTGTGTTTTCCTTTCTTTAACTTACCTCACGGATGAGAGGATTATTTAACTATTTATACATGTCCTTCTTTTGACGAATTGGCTCGCTAGCCACATTGACGAGCAATCTCAAGAGCTCAAAACTAGCCAGCTCACAAGTTGAGCTGGTTTGCGAGCCCCGCTAGCTGAACGAAGTTTAGCTCAAGGTTTGCACGTCTTTAAATGAGTAGAGTGTTTGACGCCTTCTCTTTCTGCTATTTGTTACGATGGAACTAAAAAAAAGAGTTTGAGCTCTTTTGGGGTTAACTCCTCTCTAGTTTGTTCAGAAACCTCTATGGTGTGGTCATTTGCCAAAAGTAATAGTAGAAAACTGCTTTCAAGCTACCCAACAACAACCCTATGTTATCTGTGAGTTTTTAGTCTTATCATTCTTATTTTTCGTCATCCACCTTTTTAGTACCGACGAGTTTTATTTCTCGAGTTTAACCTAGAGATGTTAGTGAGCCACTCGGTTTATTTATAGCCCTAATTACAACTAAGGTGAAAGCTCATCAAATTCTTGTTATACTAATTGATGTAACCAATTAATTGTTCCTAATTTTATGCAACACGATTCAATGTCCTTATGATTTCAAGCCTTAAGGATGTTCCTACATTGTTACGAATAAGATATTGGTCTAATAGTAATATCACTAGTCTTGAACTTGGAGGTTCCGGACTTGAATCCCTTAACTAGTACGAATCACAAAAGTAATCAATATTCCACTGATAAAAAAAAGATGTTTATACATTGTTGTATTCCTTGTCCTCCCATACAAATTTGCAAGGTACAAGGATGTCCTTATATCATAAGCGTTAATTAGGCTAACAAAATACAGTTTTATGTATAAATTTGCACTCTTGGGTCATATTTGGCACCACATGAGTTTTTTTTTTTTTAAGAAGGCACCACATGAGTCATGGTGCTTAAGATGAGAGTGAGTGAGGTGTGTACAGTGTACTAGGGCAGCAGCCAGTCCGGGACCCAAATCCACTGCTCAGCAGATGGATGGATGAGAAATGGGATCAGGATAGGGACAAAATCGTTTCTCTCTGTATGTATGATCATATAATAACAATATATATTATAAAAATATAATAGCCACATCACAGCCACAGCCTGATCCGGATGCCGGCCACATCTCAGGCTTAGCAATTAGGAGAATTGTAATCTGCCACGTCAACGGGGTCGACCTATCAAATCTGAGCATGGGATTACAGGCAACCAATAGGGAAGCAGGACGAGTCGCGCCAATGAATCCGAGGTGTCACGTTTTCATCCACTATCTATCCCAGTTAAGCTAGCTCATGCTTCATCCATCCCATAAAAACAGAGCAGCAGCTGCAGAGAGCCAGCTCAGTAAAGAAAGCCAGGCAGCAAGGGATAGAGGGTAGCATCGTTACTATTATTGCTTCATTTCCTCAGAGGGGGCGAGGTGGGGGGGTTAATTATGGCGGCTTCGGTGGCAGCATCAACAGCAGCGGCCTCGCTGGGAGCGTCGGAGATGCTGGGGAATGCTCTGAATTTCAACGGCAGCAGCAGCAGCAGCAGGTCTCTTGCATCAGGCCCCTCCTCCACTTCCACTTTCAAGATAGTTGCTCTCTTCTCAAAGTTCAAGAAGGCTGCTTCTTCTCCCCCTCCTCCGCCTCCCAGATCCAAGCCCTCTCCCGCAGTTTCCTCTGTCTCTGAAGAACTCGCCAAGTGGTATGGTGAGTAAAATATATCACTAACCCAACCAACAAAGAAACAAACAAGTTCTTCCCACCTTTTCTTTTCCCCTGTTCGCGCTCTGCTCTGCTCTGCTCCGCTTGCTAGCTAATTGCTGTATTAATTAGTTTGTGTCTGGTTTCCACTGTGGTCGATCAGGCCCTGATAGAAGGATCTTCCTTCCCGAAGGACTGTTGGACCGTTCTGAGATTCCCGAGTACCTGACTGGAGAAGTCCCCGGAGAGTAAGCTAGCATATCAGAACCTACCTCCCAATTGTTATTATTATTATTATTATTATTACTACTACTAATAATGATGGATTGTTTCTTCCTACTGCAGTTATGGTTACGATCCTTTTGGGCTCAGCAAGAAGCCAGAAGACTTCGCCAAGTACCATTATTCACAAATTACATTCAATACATTCCCTTACACAATCAAATTCAAGTAACTGGAGGTTGCTTAATTTGTTGCAGGTATCAGGCGTACGAGCTGATTCACGCCCGGTGGGCAATGCTCGGAGCTGCTGGGTTCATCATCCCTGAAGCTTTCAACAAGTACGGTGCTAACTGCGGGCCTGAGGCTGTCTGGTTCAAGGTAAATTGCATGCATATATCTAGTTTATAGTTAATGTTTTGGATGCATTGCAGTGCAGCAGCTTAGAATACATTTTTTTTTGTCATTAATTAATTATCTATGTGCCTATGATTACATGAATGCAGACAGGAGCTCTGCTTTTGGATGGGAACACCCTCAACTACTTCGGGAACAACATCCCCATCAACCTTGTGGTAGCCGTTGTCGCGGAGGTCGTCCTTCTTGGCGGTGCCGAATACTACAGAATTATTAATGGCTTGGTAAGTATATTGTTTTCCTTCTCTGTTCTGTTCCTAATAATTTAACGTCGAATCAACCAACTTAGAAACACTCGCTAATTACTTACTTATATTGATTTTTGAATGAATAGGATTTGGAGGACAAGCTTCACCCGGGCGGGCCATTCGATCCACTGGGGCTGGCCAGCGACCCAGACCAAGCCGCACTCCTCAAGGTGAAGGAAATCAAGAATGGTAGACTAGCCATGTTTGCGATGCTTGGTTTCTTCTTGCAAGCTTATGTTACAGGGGAAGGTCCAGTCGATAACCTTTCTAAGCATCTCACCGATCCTTTCGCAAACAACTTGCTCACTGTTCTTTCCAGCTCTGTCGAGAGAGTGCCCACTCTCTAATCTCCTCTTTCTTTCCACTTGCTACAGCGCCATGTTCTGTAGTCTCCGCCCGATCCACTTTCATTTTTATTTCTTTCCTTAAGTTGAATTGTCCATCTTCAAGTATCGTAATAGGGTGGCTCATATGGTGGGCAAAAAAACCCTTTTTATTGTTTTCTAATTTGATAGGGTTCGATTTTCGTTCCTGTCTCTTGTCGGCCAGCTGACTCTTGTGTATCTCGATTATCTCATTTAATACGAAGTATCTTTTGGGGGGAAAATGTATGATTTGAAGTTAAGTGCGTACATACAATATGTCCAAGGCCAAATGTGGCTCTAAGGTACAAGAATAGTAACGCATGCCATGCATGAAAATGATGCTCTTTCATCCGATTACTGCCCTTATTAGATATATACTAGCAAAAACTCGCTATCGCTTCGCGTATTAAAAAAATAAATATTTTAAAAAGTAATAGTGTCAATGTTGACCCAAAAGTGAAAGTAATCTTATTTCATTCTTAACCATTTTTTTCATAGATTTGTTATTTACAATAGCATATAGTCGATGAACTTTCATAAGGTAGAAGAGTCGTCGAATAGATTATTTATGTTTAAACTTCTTTCATGACGCTTCAATTTGTATGGCTTGTAATTGATCATGCTGTAACTTTTGCAAAATGAAGCAACTTCTCTGTATCTTTTCAAAAAGTATTTACAAAAAAATTATTAAGTGGTTAGTTGAAAAACTATCAGAATTACTTTCTAATTTAAGAGGTAATGAAAAATGACTAAAAAATATTTCTAATATAAAATATGAACACAAATTCTAAAAATTAAAAAGTATTTAAAATGGATCACGTTAGATTTACTTCATATTAAATCATACTATTTTTCAATTTATTTTTATAATGATATAAATGAATTTTTTTTAATGTTTTCTAGAAAAAGAATGATATAGGGTAAATACAATTTTGTATTTTCAAATAAGAGCTTCTGCTTTTAAGCTACGAAAAAATTTAGTTTTTTAAAAAGCGAAACTTTAGAAGTGTTTGGCTTGACTTCAACTTTTGAAACATAAAACTTCTAAAATTCGGGCCAAACATAGTTGTACTCTTTAGGCTTTTTTTTTTGTTTGAGGTAATCGTGGTTCTTCTTTATGAAATTTTTGGATTGATTGCCAGTTTGAGGAGGATCAACTCGCATTGCTCGGGTCAAATTAGGTTGGATACCCATGGATTTGGGTTCAATTGTCTTTCTCAAACAAAAGGAAAAAGCGAAATGAAAAACACTAACGCTAAAACTCGCTACCGACTCAAAACTCGTCAACACCAACTTCAACTCGCTTTGACCTGATTGGACCGAGTTTTGGACAAATTCACACCTAACACAACATGCCAATTACAAAAACAGATAATGCTCACTCCTGCCGAAAACTTGTAAAGGGTTCAAGTCGCTTCGGTCGGGTCAAATTAGGTTGTATACCCATGCGTTTGAACTCAATTGTCATTCTCAACCAAAAGAAAAAAGATAAAAAATACTAAAGCGGATAAAACTCACTCATGACCCCAAATTCTCAACACTGCATTCAACTCGCTTTGACCGGGTCGACCCAATTTTATCAAATTCACAATTTACCCAACCTGTCAATTACAAAAGCAGATAAAACTCGCTCTCGATACGAAACGCGTCAACAATGGGTTAGAGTTCAATTGTCATTCTCAACGAAAAGGAAAATGAGAAATAACAAAATATATTAAAGCGACAAAACTCGCTTTCGATCTAAAATTGGTCAACAATGTGTTCAACTCGCTTTGAATTTTTTTTTAACAAATTAACACTTGGTCCAACCTGCCAACTACAAAAGTGTATAAAGTTTGCTCACAATATAACACTCGTCAAAACTTTAGATTCGGGTTAAATTGTCTTCCCAACCAAAAGAAGAAAAAAAAAAGAAATTTATAAATGCTAAATCTATTTCAAGTCGCTTTGACCGGATCGAATTAGGTTGGATACCCATTGATTTGGGTTCAATTGTGATCATGTTCAATAAAAAGGAAAAAGTGAAAGAAAAAAGTACTAAAGCGAACGAAACTCTGCCCCAATACAAAACTAGCTAACATTGAGTAGATATGGTATGGATTTTTGGTAGCGGCATTGGGTTCAATTCCGCCGACAATATTTTGAGATGGGCTACAAAATGGTGGGCAAAGGCGACATATTTGAAGTAAAAACTAATTATAGTAAATATCATATGTCAAAGTAACTAATTAATAGAATGACAAATGAGGGAGGAGTAGCATACAATTCTTCAACCGATAATGCCATAGTACACTGTACACTACTTAAGAAGTAGTGAAACAACGAAGGCCAAACTTCTAATCGGAGGCTTCAAGTAAACGTAAGTCGACGACAGGTGAGGTTTTGCCTTTAATGTGGTGAATGGTTATAATGTAATGGAAATATTCAGCTATCAGTCTTCCTTCACAAAAACTATCATAAACTCATCAATACAAATGTACTAAACGCAAGAAAGAGGAGGAATTTTAGAAGTATAACAACACATAAGAGGTTGGTCATATGTCCACAAATGATCAGTATAGTACAGGTAGATCACTAACACCTCGCTCCAAAAAGGAACCTGAGAAATTTGTATCATCGTCGTTTTTGTATTTGCTTGCTTTGTATTTTCGAAAACGGAAACAAAAACGACCATTGACATGGATTGCTTGCTAATAGATGGAGATATTTTTTTAGTTATGATTGGAATGTACTTTTTTTCTTGTGATTTGTTATTGACTTTTCCTTTTGACACTCTAAATGTAAAACGTGAGTTGTTGTAGATTTATTATTTGTAGGACTTTATTATTATTATTATTATTATTATTATTATTGTTATTATTATTATTATAGTTGAAATTGGGAACTAATTAAGACACACACATATATAATAATCAAGAGAAGAGGGTCATTTGTTGGACATTTATAGGGTAGCAATCCCTCGGGGGCCCAGAAAAAGCCCTACGGGCCAGAATGTTGTTGACAGATTGGGTTGGGTGGAAGGCATCCCAAAACACAAAAACATTTCTGTTGGTACAAGGAATGGCGAACGGGAGACATGTGATTTGGCCTTGGTTCCTCCCAATTCCGCAGCATCCTCTGTCCACAACATTAAACCCTGCACCAAGAAATGCAAATTGATGAACGATCGTCGTCGTCGTCATCATCATCATGTGTGTGAGGCTGTGAGCACATATATATAATGTAATGATATAGTTAACTAATGTATTGTGCGCAATCATTTCATCAACTACTACACACATATATATGCATGCAGTTAGACGTTACCATAAGTGGCAGGGTTATTGAGGATGTCACCAACAGCGGCGTAGGTGTTGCCAAAGGCATACATGGCTCCCGGCTGGCGGTTGAGCTGATCCACAAGGGAGTGAAGCCCTTCGTTGAAGGTGCCCAGCATCTCATTCACGTAGTCGACACACCTGTCCGGAGGTGATTGGCCGCTGGCTCTCTGGTTAGGGATGCACCCGAGCGGGCCAATCCCTGCCAGTAGGAACTTCCGGAGTCCCAATCCGTAGAGTGCCACTAACTGGCGGGCATAGTTATTGAGGAGAAGGTTGGCGAACTGCGGGGGGCTGTAATTATAACTTGAAGAGTAGATGGCTGGCATCAGGTAGTTGTTTATGTAGTCGTTGCTTCCAAACACCAGCACTGCCATGGACTTCCCCAAGAAATTGCTCAGGTTCCCTCCGCCCATCCCCACCGTTGTTCTCAGCTGGTACACTGTCGTTTCGAAGTTCGCCACCTGCTGCCTTAGACTGTACCTTTGCCCCTGCACATGAATTATTATTAATTAGCTTAATTAACCACATAATTAATTAATGGAAATTGTGTTTTACGGTGCACTAATTAAGAAAAAACGAGTGCAGACCTAATTCATTAAGTCACCAAAATTTTAATTTGAATGACCAGCATTAATCTAATACAGCAACTAATTAATGAATTATTTTAAGTCATAAAATTTAAATTTTGAACCCTCTATCCTCTAAATTCTAAACACTAACCCTAATCCTAAATGCCTAAAGCCTTCAAATGAGTCTAAATCTTTTTTGTTATTGGAAAATATCATGCATTTTATTTTTCATTATATTACACACTATAAACATATGCGTCACTTTATTTTTCATTATTATGAGACAAGTGCCTAGCATGGAAAAAAAGTGAGCGTGAAGACAAAAACCATTTAAAAATATAAGCATGTTCCTACTTACATAGTGCTGGCCTGTCTCATCAAGGATGCCTGCAGCTGCCGATGCATAATTTACGCCGCCAAGTAATCTAGCTCCGGCTGTGTTGGGATCGGCAAAAGCTGGAGGATACGGCAGACCTAGCAACTCCGCTGTACAAAAAAGAAAAAAAAAACAGTGGAGCTAGCTGGAGCCTGGAAGAGTATATATATAAATCTTGCAGGGAGTCCATTATGATCATCAAGTTTATATATGTACTCACCAAGTATATCGACAAAAGTTTTGCCATTGCAAAATCTGCCAGTAGGGCCTCTGTTAAAGTCGACCCCGTAAGGGAAATAATTGGATTTGGCGATGGAGCTCAGGTAATTGTTGTTCCCAACTTCAACCAATGAATCTCCGAAGATGAACATCGCTGGAACTCTTGTTGATGCTATTGCTACCAACCCAAGTCTTGAAACCATGATGCCGCTCATTAACCACAACAATAGAGCTCTAGTCACCCTCATCCTCAATTTCAGCATCATCTTCAAATTCATGATGGAACTCTTGACACTTAAATTCAACTCAAACCATTACAAGATACACATATATATACACACGTCAAAACTATGAAAAGAAAAACCCCATCGAACCGTTACAGAACATATGTAAGCCAACCCATCGTTAAACTATATATATGAAATAGCAAAAAAATCAGAAAATATAAGAAATGGCAGACTTGAAAATAAATCAGATTATGCAAGAGTATTAGAGGTAGTTTGGACACGTGTTGTCACCTAATGCTTTCTTCACCTGAAAACCTTGCTTTTATATAGTAGTACAATAATATTCTATGCACTATATATAAGTAGGCCGTTACACCTTCATAACTTCATCATCTCCATCTTCACAACACATGTCTTGTCCTCGAACAAAAAATCTTTTGCTTTCTACTTTATATCTCCTATTACATGCACTCTTTTGGCACCATGTCCCGATTTTATTGCTTGGGAATAAAAATACATGTACAGGATCCATACACATGTATATAACGTGTTAAAAGCGGGCCGGTGGGTCACACAAAATTCGTCTTATGTTGGAAAACATGGTAAGACCTTCCTGTCCCTGATCACTTTCTCTGAGATAAACATCTGACTTTCGGCGAGGGGATTAGGGGAAGGGAAGGAGATTGATGATTTTCCCACCTTGCTTTCGAACCTTGAGGAAGAGAGAGAAGGAAAGATTAGAGAAAGAGAGAGAAGAGAAAGAAGCCGTTATAAAGTGGGAAAGATAAACGTGAGTGGATAGAAAAATGTCAGAAAAAGCAATTTGTAAGTTATTATTGGAGGCACAATAGTTTAGGATCAATAGACTTCATTATATGTGCAGAATAGCCTCGGGTTGAATCCGTTATTTGTAGCCTCAAAAATCAAAAGAAAATGGCATTTTGGAAAAATCGCCCGAAATCGGTGATGGTACCCCTTTGGGATATGCCAAAAATTGACCCGGAAGATATTCACCCGAATCGGTGCTTAATGGACTTCATCATCGTTGAAGAATAGCCTCAGACCGAATCCGCGATCTCTAGCCTTCAAAATCATGGTAAATGGCCTTTCGAAATGGATCGTCTAAAATATTACGAAAATGCCATCCCAAAATAAATGCGCCCAAATCGATGGATAATGGGCTTAATCATTGGCGGAGAATAGGATCAATAGACTTCATTATATGTGGAGAATTGCCTCGGGTTGAATCCGTGATGAGTAGCCTTAAAAATCAAAAGAAAATGGCATTTCGGAAAAATAGCCCGAAATCGGTGATGGTACCCCTTTGGGATCTGCCAAAAATTGACCCGGAAGATATCCGCCCGAATCGGTGCTTAAAGGACTTAATCATCGTTGAAGAATAGCCTCAGACCGAATCCGTGATCTGTAGCCTTAAAAATCCATGGCTAATGGCCTTTCGAAAAAAATCGTCTAAAATATTACGCAAATGCCATCCCAAAATAAATTCGCCCAAATATATGCTTAATGGGCTTAATCATTGGCGGAGAATAGGATCGATAGACTTCATTATATGTGGAGAATAGCCTGGGACTGAATCCGTGATCTGTAGCCTTCAAAATCCAGTGTAAATAGCCTTTCGAAAAAATCGTCTAAAATATTACGAAAATGCCATCCCAAAATAAATTCGCCCAAATCGATGCTAAATGGGCTTAATCATTGACGGAGAATAGGATCAATAGACTTCATTATATGTGGAGAATAGCCTCGGTTTGAATCCGTGATCTGTAGCATCCAAAATCGAAAGAAAATGTCATTTCGGAAAAATCGCTCGAAATCGGTGATGATACCCCTTTGGGATATGCCAAAAATTGACCTGGAGATATCCGGCCGAATCGGTGCTTAATGGACATAATCATCTTTGAAGAATAGCCTCAGACAGAATCCGTGATCTGTAGCCTTCAAAATCAATGGTAAATGTCCTTTCGAAAAGGATCGTCTAAAATATTACGAAAATGCCATCCCAAATAAAATTCGCCCAAATCGATAGATAATGGGCTTAATCATTAGCAGAGAATAGGATCAATAGACTTCATTATATGTGAAGAATATCCTCGGGTTGAATCCGTGATCTGTAGCCTCCAAAATCGAAAGAAAATGGCATTTCGGAAAAATCGGCCGAAATCGGTGATAGTACCCCTTTGGGATCTGCCAAAAATTGTCCCGGAAGATATCTGCCCGAATCGGTGCTTAATGGACTTAATCATCCTTGAAGAATAGCCTCAGACTGAATCCGTGATCTGTAGCCTTCAGAATCCAGTGTAAATGGCCTTTCGAAAAAAATCGTCTAAAATATTACGAAAATGCCATCCCAAATAAAATTCGCCCAAATCGATGGATAATGGGCTTAATCATTAGCAGAGAATAGGATCAATAGACTTCATTATATGTGAAGAATATCTTCGGGTTGACTCCGTGATCTGTAGCCTCCAAAATCGAAAGAAAATGGCATTTCGGAAACATTGGCCGAAATCGGTGATGGTACACCTTTGGGATCAGCCAAAAATTGTCCCAGAAGATATCCGCCCGAATCGGTGCTTAATGGACTTAATCATCCTTGAAGAATAGCCTCAGACCGAATCCGTGATCTGTAGCCTTCAAAATCCAGTGTAAATGGCCTTTCGAAAAAAATCGTCTAAAATATTACGAAAATGCCATCACAAAATAAATTCGCCCAAATTGTGCTTAATGGGCTTAATCATTGACGGAGAATAGGATCAATAGACTTCATTATATGTGGAGAATAGCCTCGGGTTGAATCCGTGATCTGTAGCCTCAAAAATCAAAAGAAAATGGCATTTCGGAAAAATCGCCTGAAATCGGTGATGGTACCCCTTTGGGATATGCCAAAAATTGACCCGGAAGATATCCGCCTGAATCGGTGCTTAATGGACTTAATCATCGTTGAAGAATAGCCTCAGACCGAATCCGTGATCTGTAGCCTATAAAATCCATGGTAAATGGCCTTTCGAAAAAAATTGTCTAATATATTACGAAAATGCCATCCCAAAATAAATTCGCCCAAATCGATGCTTAAAGGGCTTAATCATTGGCGAAGAATAGGATCGATGGACTTCATTATATGTGGAGAGTAGCCTCGAGTTGAATCCGTGATCTTTATCCTCCAAAATCGAAAGAAAATGACATTTCGGAAAAATCGCCCAAAATCGGTGATGGTAACCCTTTGGGATCATCCAAAAATTGACCAGGAAGATTTCCGCCCGAATCGGTGCTTAATGGACTTAATCATCGTTGAAGAATAGCCTCAGACCGAATCCGTTATCTGTAGCTTTCAAAATCCATGGTAAATGGCCTTTCGAAAAAAATCGTCTAAAATATTACGAAAATGCCATCCGAAAATAAATTCGCCCAAATTGATGCTTAATGGGCTTAATCATTGGCGGAGAATAGGATCAATAGACTTCATTATATGTGGTGAATAGCCTCGGGTTGAATCCGTGATGAGTAGCCTTAAAAAGCAAAAGAAAATGGCATTTCGGAAAAATCGCCCGAAATCGGTGATGGTACCCCTTTGGGATCTGCCAAAAATTGACCTGGAAGATATACGCCCGAATCGGTGCTTAATGGAGTTAATCATCGTTGAAGAATAGCCTCAGACTGAATCCGTAATCTGTATCCTTCAAAATCCATGGTAAATGGCCTTTCGAAAAGGATCGTCTAAAATATTACGAAAATGCCATCCCAAATAAAATTCGTCCAAATCGACGGATAATGGGATTAATCATTAGCGGAGAATAGGATCAATAGACTTCATTATAAGTGCAGAATAGCCTCGGGTTGAATCCGTGATTTGTAGCCTCCAAAATCGAAAGAAAATGGCATTTCGGAAAAATCGTCTGAAATCGGTGATGGTACCCCTTTAAGATCTGCCAAAAATTGACCCGGAAGATATCCGCCCGAATCGGTGCTTAATGGGCTTAATCATCATTGAAGAATAGCCTTAGACCGAATCAGTGATCTGTAGCCTTCAAAATCCATGGTAAATGATCTTTCGAAAATAATCGTCTAATATATTACGAAAATTCCATCTCAAAATAAATTCGCCCAAATCGATGCTTAAAGGGATTAATCATTGGCGAAGAATAGGATCGATAGACTCCATTATATGTGGAGAATAGCCTCAGGTTGAATCCGTGATCTTTATCCTCCAAAATCGAAAGAAAATGGCATTTCGGAAAAATCGCCCGAAATCGGTGATGGTACCCCTTTGGGATCTGCCAAAAATTGACCCGGAATATATCCGCCCGAATCGGTGCTTAATGGACTTAATCATCGTTGAAGAATAGCCTCAGACCGAATTCGTGATCTGGATCCTTCAAAATCCATGGTAAATGGCATTTCAAAAAAAAATCGTCTCAAATATTACGAAAATGAATCCCAAAATAAATTCGCCCAAATCGATGCTTAATGGGCTTAATCACCTGCGGAGAATAGGATCAATAGACTTCATTATATGTAGAGAATAGCCTCGAGTTGAATCCGTGATCTGTAGCATCCAAAATCGAAAGAAAATGGCATTTCCGAAAAATCGTCTGAAATCGGTGATGGTACCCATTTAAGATCTGCCAAAAATTGACCCGGAAGATATCCGCCAGAATCGGTGCTTAATGGACTTAATCATCATTGAAGAATAGTCTTAGACCGAATCAGTGATCTGCAGCCTTCAAAATCCATGGTAAATGGGCTTTCGAAAAAAATCGTCTAATATATTACGAAAATGCCATCCCAAAATAAATTCGCCCAAATCGATGCTTAAAGGGCTTAATCATTGGCGAAGAATAGGATCGATTGATCTCATTATATGTGGGGAATAGCCTCGGGTTGAATCCGTGATCTTTATCCTCCAAAATCGAAAGAAAATGGCATTTCGGAAAAATCGCCCGAAATCGGTGATGGTACCCCTTTGGGAT